GCCTCCCAAGTAGCTGGGACCACAGGCGCCCGCCACAACGCGCGGCTGCTGGGGATTCGAACCCGCCACCTTAGGTGTATGTGGCTGGTTCCTTAGCCGGTTGAGCTATAGGCGCCGAGCCAGTGTTCAGTCTTTTAAATTTTAGCTATTAAGTAGCTATAATTGGTGTTGGTCTCCCGACAAGTGACATAGAGCCTCTCTTATATACTTCCTGACTACTTGGATATCATTTTTGTCAACACCCTTGCCTGTTTGGGGGCCCATTAACTTTTCCCCTTTTTATTTATTGGAATTCTTTTTGTTTATGAGTCCTTTATCAGATATATTTACTGAGAATATTCTTTCCTACCAGATTATAATCTGAGTGTCTTGTATCAAGGAGTTAGTAAACAAAACAAGGCTGGTGAATGAAGTCATTACATAGAAGGAGACAGAAAGGGCCTCTGGGATCAAAGAAAACCGACCTCAGTTGAGTCAGGGCTTGCTACAATCCTGAGCAAGCAAGATGTGATGCTGTGTGGATCTCCGGTGACTTCTCTGTCTCCAAAGCCAATCTCCAGAGGCCAGTTCCTGGAAATTTCGTCAATAGGCCAAGCCATTTCCCACCTCTGGGACTTTGCACATACTATAGCCCAAACATCACCTCCTCCAGGAGGCCCTCATCTCTGCAATCACACTTATTATTTAATATCTGTACCCAAGCCAGCCTGGGTCCAAGGGAGCTTCCTTTCTGATAAGTGCCTGGTAGAGCCCAGCATACTGGACCACGTAAGAACCAGGATCTTCCTTTTTCTTTCTCCCTTGCTTCTTGTTTTTCTTTCTTTCTTTTTTTAAATTTATTATTTTTTTTGAGACAGAGCCTCAAGCTGTCACCTTGGGTAGAGTGTTGTGGCATCACAGCTCACAGCAACCTCCAACTCCTGGGCTCAAGAGAGTCTCCTGCCTCAGTCTACCACGTAGCTGGGACCACAGGTGCCTGCCACAACGCCCAGCTATTTTTTTTGGTTGCAGCCATCATTGTTGTTTGGTGGGCCTGGGCTGGATTCAAACCCGCCAGCTCAGGTGTATGTGGCTGGCGCCTTAGCC